TTAGAAGATGTGTATCTAAAATGTAAAAAAGGAAGGTTTGAAACCCCGGGACTTCAAATCCATTTCCACTAGAATTATGAGGTAAATTAAAGCTGAAATGACAGAGAGAAGGTTTGAAGCCTCAGAGCTTCATGGGTATTTTCAATGCTCTAAATAAATAGAAAATGGCCGGCCTATGAATTTAATTTACTACAATATTTTCAGTATACAAAAAGGAAGATAGAAACAAAAATTTAATAACGTGAAAGGTGATTTAATAGTGAAAAAAATGATTGAATTACCTCTTTTTTTTCAAAAAGAAATTTAAAAATAATTATCTACCGTGATATTTAGTAAACCACTCAAGCATTAGCAAAGAATTTTTCCCTCGCTAAAAAGTATGCTGATGTGTTATCAAAAGAAATTTCTCTTGCTAATAAGTAGCGAGAGATGAAACATGTAAGAAACCATATCCATGTGATCGCATCGAATAAGGGTCTGTTTGGGAATAGCATTAGAGATTAGCGTTAGCGTTTTGGATAAAATTTTAACGGTGCAGATTAATTTGAAAACGCTAACGCTAAACGCTGCCCGTAGATAGCCTTTTGAAAAAGCTAACGATAATCTTTAACGCTATTCCCAAACAGACTCTAAGTCTCTCGCTTTTTTAATTAGCTATATTATTATTATTATTATTATTATTATTATTATTATTATTATTATTATTATGGGTTGAATTTTTTAACACACAGGATAGACTTTTTTACATACTCTAATAGAATCTGATTTGAATAAATTGGGTCTTATACTCTTATATAAATAGATCCAATTTAATCTTCAAATAGATCTGATATAATTTGAATGAATCTGATGTGAATATATATAATATGATTTGAATGAATTGATATTTTCAAATAAAAATAAATAAGTAGAAAGAATAAAGTTGAGGAGATTGAGTTACTGGGGAATATAATTAGTTATTACTGTGACTTTTTTATTGAAAGAATTGGATAAAATTGAAATTTTCAACCCATTTAACACACAGGATAGACTTGGTTTAATTTGTGGAGTATTATTATTATTATTATTATTATTATTATTATTATTATTTTATCTTCTTTTTTTTCAAATTATAGTATGGGATATTACCCCTGCTACAATGCATGAGGTGTTAGTAAGGGTAATTTCCCTTGCTGAATAGCGTGGGAAAGAAGTTCCCCCTCTAATTCTACTAGCTAAATTCGAGTATTCTAATAGGGAAGAATGAATTATATTTTCCATTATAACTCTTTGCCCTTTTAATATATTACCTTTTAGCACAGTAATAAGAAACATTTTCATACTTTTCATCCATTAATAGATTTTATTATACTTTTTAGATTATATGGTCAACATTTATTGATTAACGGTAACTAATTTATTGATTAACGGTAACTAATTTTTTGAAATCACTTTCAAATTAAGTAATTTCTAAAGTCATACTCTATTTTTAATTACATAATATAATTATACTCTCTCCGTTTGGAAAAAGTGTTCCCATTTTGATTTGGGGGCAAAAATAAGGAAGTGTTAAATTATAGTTGATTTCCAATTTTGTCCCTGATGTGATGGGTAAAAGTAAAATGTGATGGATATATTATTAGAGAAAAAGTATGATGTGATAGATAGGGTATGAAAAAGTAAGGGTAAAAGTGGTTTTTTAATAGAAAAGGGAAGTGTTTTGTTGGAAGTGAAAAAAAATAAAAGAGGAAGTGTTTTTGAGAACGGAGAGAGTATATATTAGTTCCTCACAATAAATAGTATTTATTTACTTAAAATAACATCTAATCTTTGAGCACTGGCAATGGCGAGGCAAATGCCCGCCACGCCATGCCACATCAGCCCTTTCTCTATTTTGCCATGCTTGGCTTGTGCATTCCTCCATGCAAGGCATGTCTTGTGCGAGGCATTCTTCTCTTTTTTTTCTTTTTTATATTTTTTTTTATTTGTGGAAAAAAGGTTTTTTTAAAAAAGAAGTGCATATATTTTAATGAAAAAAAAGATAAGTAAAAAAATTATAATTAAAATATGTCACAAAAGTGTAAAAAATGACAAAAACAATTACTTGCCACTGCATGATATGTCACTCCACTCACTCGTCACACGCTGACTGGACTCTTTTTGATTCGTTGAAATGCTTCATGTCACTGTGTGGCATTCTATTTTTGATTTGCGATTGCCAATGCTCTTAAGTAGATTTTTATGGTATTACAGTGCGTGCCATTTGCTTGGAGGTAAAGAAATTAATTGGAGTGTGTATATAGTTGAAAGAAAAATATTTAAAAAGATACTCCCTTCCTTTTCTAAAATAGTTTCTGTTTTATTTTTTCGTTTGCAACAAAACACTTCATTTTGATAAAAAAAATGACTAATATATTCAAATTAAGTTGTTGCAATATACTCCCTCCGTCCCAAAAAGATTTACACGTTTCAAAAATAATGCGTCCCACAATCCATTACCCATTTCCATTAAAAAACCATTTTTACCCTTTACTTTTTCAAACCCTACCTATCACATCATACCTTTTTCCTAATAATCTACACATCACATCCTACTTTTACCCATCACATCAAGAGTATTTTTGGAAAGTCAACACAAAATTATTACTTCCTTAATTTGAACTTTAGTCAAAATGGCTAACACTTTATGGGACGAAGGGAGTACTTCATTCATTTTGCATTGATATAATAAGTTATTTAATTGAGTTTTTTTTCTTTTTTAGACGTTTAAGACATTATTGGAAAGTCAAATTACAAAAATAATTCTGATAGATCGAAGTCAACATAAGAACTATTTTACCAAAGGGAGGTAGTATATCCTTAAGAATTATATTGAAACATATATAAAAAAGAAATCCAATAATAATTACTCTAAAAAGTCAAAATGATCGCGGTTGAATGACTTGAAGCTGATGAGTTTAGCAACCAAATACAATAAGATGATATAGTCAATTTGTGAGAGGTTGCCCCAAACGGAATTGCCGTTTGTCAACGGCAGACAAACAACACCATCAGCCACATAATTCCCGATTTTCCTTATTAATTTTTTGGAAAACTAAAGGAGGAATATTTTTGTATAAACTGTCCAAAAATACCCTTGATATAATGAATGATGTATAGATTATCAGTACAAAGATATGATGTGATAGGTATGTTATGAAAAAGTAATAGGTAAAAGTAGTTTTTAATAGATAATGGAACATCTTTTGGGGACAACAAAAAATGGAAGGGGATATTTTTAGGGAGGGAGGAAGTAGTTAAGTAATGCTTTGGACGAAAGCGGAATAAACATACGTTTAGTTTGGTTGATGGAAGGTGCTCCCACAATAACGCCAGGAATGAATGCATGCATGCATGCATTATTATTTGACCCCGGCCCGTTGATTAGGTTACTTAAGCACCGTTTAATTTAAACTTCTATTTTCTTGGTTATAAAAATTAATTTTCAATTCTCTTTTCAATTCCTTCTAATTTTTTCTTCTATTCTATCTAACTCTTTTTAGTTTGTTGTAACGACTGAAAAACCTATTTAACTTTTTAGTTTGTTCCAACGACTTAAAAAGCTATTTATGTATGACAAATATATAATAACATTATATATTCAAATTTATAACATACTACCTTAAACACGCCCAAAGATGGTTTTTTTTTATCAAAAATAGAATTTTCTTATAGAAATATTTGCACTAAATAGCACTAAGACTTAAGTCATTTCTCTAAATAGCACTTAGATTGTTTTCTTCCCCAAATAACACTCTATAATGTCCATAATGACCAGTGATGACAAACGTTCACTTAAATAATGACTAATGGATAATGACTAAAAGTGCTACATTGAGAAAAAAACATATGTAGTGCTATTTAGAGAAAGTCATTATGTTTTAGTGCTATTTAGTTAAATTCCCCTTTCTTATATATACATACAAATGATGGTCATTTCATTGAGTAACTTTTTAACACTTTAATTCTTCTAACTCTTAGTTTTTTTCAATTCTAACTCATTTCAATTTCTTTTGCAAGCATTTTTTTAAGGAAAACAGGGTACGGTTGCAAATAAGAATGCATTCAAGGATAGATAATAAATTGGTTAACGTATGTTTGTTTAATGTATTCAAGGATAGATAATAAATTGGTTAATCTATTAATAACACATAGCTCATCAACCCATAAAACAAAAAAATTAAAATCAACGCACTAACTTTTCAGTGCTATACACAAAATCGAAGAAATCAAAGGTTCTCATTAAAAAAACATGGTAGCTTTAGAAACCATTAAAGTGATATTTGGTATTTTTACCTCCCTTTGTGTTCAAAGCCACAGTTTCACCGTTGATATCATCCACACCAATGCTCTAAACTCGCCTTTCTAC